AAAAAAAAAAAAAAAAACAGAGAGACTGTCTAAAAAGAAACCATTTTCCAGTTAGAGGGGTATGTTTGTGAAATAAAAAAAAAAATCTTGAGGGGGTCCTGGTGTAGTGGCTCGCACCTGTAATCCTAGCACTCTGGGAGGCCCAGGCAGGTGGATTGCTTGAGCTCATAGGTTCGAGACCAGCCTGAGCCAGAGTGAGACCTCATCTCTAAAAAATAGCCAGGCGTGGCTCTGTGCCCATAGTTCAGTGGTTACATGCCAGCCACATACACCTGAGCTGGCAGGTTCGAACCCAGCCCAGGCCAGCTAAACAACAATGACAACTGCAACCAAAAATAGGCATTGGGGCAGATGCCTATAGTCCCAGCTACATGGGAGGATGAAGCAAGAGAATCACTTAAGCCCAAGAGTTTGAGGTTGCTGTGAGCAGTGACACCACACTACTGAGGGTGACATAGTGAGACACTGTTGCAAAAAAAAAAAAAAAAAAAATAGCCAGGCATTGTGGAGGGCACCTATAGTCCCAGGTACTTGGGAAGCTGAGGCAAGAGAATCTCTTGAGCCCAGGAGTTTGAGGTTGCTGTGAGCTATGGTGCCTCAGCACTCTACCAAGGGTGACAAAGTGAGACTGTTTAAAAAAAAAAAAAATCTTGGGCAGCGCCTGTGGCTCAGTGAGTGGGGCACCATCCCCATATACCAAGGGTGATAGGTTCAAACCCGGCCCTGGCCAAACTGCAACAAAAAAATAGCTGGGTGTTGTGGTGGGCGCCTGTAGTCCCAGCTACTCAGGAGGTTGAGGCAGGAGAATTGCCTAAGCCCAGGAGCTGGAAGTTGCTGTGATGCCATGGCACTGAGGGTGACAAAGTGAGACTCTGTCTCAAAAAAAAAAAAAAAAATCTTGAGGAGGGTACTGTCTGTTTCTAAAGTGGCCTTTGTGTTGTGTCTCAGGAGTCCTGGTCCTGTCCTGGTACCCACCTGGCATGGCTGATGATAATGGGGAACCCTCAGATGACCTGGTGCCTGCCATTCTGGACACCGCCCATCAGTTCAACATCCAGGTGAGTCTCCAGCCTATTCTGGAGATAGGCTCTACTCTGCTCTGCTCACTGGGTTAGTGCCTCTACAGAAGTTTCTGGGGGTAGCTAAGGGATGGCAAATATGTAGCAAGTGTGGTTTTGGGGGAGGGTTCAAAATAAATAATGCCTACGTCATTCTTATTTTCTTAAATTCTGAGAAAATTATATATAGGATAAATGGGAAATGAAGTAAATATCACTTTTATTAAATAATAGTAGAGGTTAGGTTGGAAACCCTGGATACAGGGTAGACAAGAGCCAAGTGGACCTCCAGATTGAACTCTGGACCTAACTCCCTGGTGCCAGGCAGTGTCTCAAGGAGCAGAGCACAACACCACGCTTCGGCAGGAAGGCTCGCCTCAGGAAGGACAGAGCTGAGTGAAGCCTGTCGTTATTTTCCCCAAACGTACCATTCAAGTCAATCATTCCTCACCTTTGTGGTGAAGAAAGAAAAACTACAAAGAGAAGCCTCACTTTCCATTCCTGAGGAAAATTCCATCAGTGACATGTTTAATAGGTCATAGCACATTTTTCCCATTGACACAGTGTCACCTCACCTCTTCCATTGTTTCAGGTAGCTGGCACCAGTCACTTGGAGCTGTTGAAAGCTATCAGCCACTCTGTAACAGCCCACACATGCCCTGCTGTGGGAGGTGGGCAAACCTCTCACCTCTCTTTTTTTTGGCCTTGCAGGCCAGTAGCTGTCTCTATCTTTGTTGTGCTCACTGTTGCCAGGCCCTCTCCTCAGGCCATGGCGGGAGCATGAGCCTCACATGTGATGGTCCCTGGACAGATACTCACCTGACCAGTTACCCCTCTGTTTGTGGCAGGTGGCCTTCCATATCCAACCCTACAAGGGCCGAGATGACATCACTGTACATGACAACATCAAGTACATCATTGACACGTAAGCCCGCTCTGGGGGCCTGGTATTTTGGTGGAAAACAAAATGGGGGGGGGGGGTAGGTCAAGTGACAGAGCTGTGTTCCCAGCAGCTGTTTTATGGTAGAAGTTGGACTTGGAGTCAGGCAACTTAGGTTCCAGTTCTAGTTCTGTGGCCTCTGATCAGAGCAAGCCTCTTAACCTTTGAGTCTTGAGAGAGTGACATAAGTTAATATATGTGACAGTGGCTTATCTAGTGTGTGCGCATCATTTCTTCATTCAGAAACCACTGGGTGCCTACGCGTCTCCTGTGCTGTTACACTGCAGTGGGTAGGCCCAGCAAAGGTTCTGACTTTGTAACATTTGCATTCTAGTGTGTTTTGGGGGTCCTGTGGGGCAGACAGTCATTCCATAGGAAAAATCAAATAGTGGCCCATACTATGAAAAAGTAAAGAATAAAGCAGGGTTATGAGCTAGAGCATGTTAGAGGAAGTACTTTAGAATGGTGTTCAGGTGAGTCTCTCTGAGGAGACAACGTGTGAGCTAACACCTAAATTACGAGTCAGCTCTGCAAAGATCTGGAGGTATGGAAGAAATTCCAGGCAGGGGGCTGGCAGATGCAAAAGGCATAAGATGGGATAAGCTTGACATGACAGCAGACTAGAAAGGCCAGGTGGGGAGTAATACAAGGGTGATAGCAGGAATGGAAGAAGGAGGGCCAGGTCCAATAAGTGGGGATAGTGAATTGACTACAGGGAGGTAGGAATGGGAGCCTGGAGACCAGTTAAGTGGCTGTTGCCGTATAGTCCAAAGGAAAGATGGTGGTGCCTTGGCTCATGGTAGGGAAGTGAGGCTTAGGAATGGCAAGGCTGGGGAGAGGAGAGAGGGGAGTCAGGTTTTTGCTTAGATGTGTGATGGTCCAACTGTGGAGATTAACTGAGTTCCAAACTGTACTGTGGCATCAAAAAGGATGTCATTGGCTTGGCGCCTGTGGCTCAAGCGGCTAAGGCACCAGCCACTGGAGCTGGTAGGTTTGAATCCAGCCTGTGCCACCAAACAACAATGACAGCTGCAACCAAAAAATAGCCAGCTGCTTGGGAGGCGGAGGCAGGAGACTCACTTGAGCCCAGGAGTTGGAGGTTGCTGTGGGCTGTGATGCCACAGCACTCTACCCAGGGTGACAGCTTGAGGCTCTGTCTCAAAAAAAAGGGGGTGGGGGTGGGAGAAGGACGTCATCCATGGCTGGTCCTACAGCTGTGCTGGTCTTGCCCATCTAATTCAGGTTCTTCTCTTTCCTGCCCCCCAGGTACGGCTCCCATGGTGCATTTTACCGCTATAAGAACAGCATGGGCAAGAGCCTCCCGCTCTTTTATATCTACGACTCATACCTGACGTCCCCTGAGGCCTGGGCCCATCTCCTGACACCAAATGGGCCCCACTCAGTGCGCAGTACTCCCTACGATGGGGTCTTCATAGCACTGCTGGTGGAGGAGAGCCATACTCATGACATCCTGGCTGCAGGGTTTGATGGCATGTATACCTATTTTGCCTCCAATGGCTTTTCCTTTGGCTCCTCCCATCAGAACTGGAAAGCTGTGAAGAACTTTTGTGATGCCAACAACCTCATGTTCATTCCCAGTGTGGGACCTGGCTACATAGACACCAGCATCCGGCCCTGGAACAACCACAATACTCGAAACAGGGTCAATGGCAAGTACTATGAGACGGCCCTGCAGGCGGCCCTGACAGTGAGACCTGAGATTGTCTCCATCACCTCCTTCAATGAGTGGCATGAGGGCACCCAGATTGAGAAAGCCATTCCCAAGAAGACACCAACTCGCCTGTATTTGGACTACCTGCCTCATCAGCCCAGCCTATACCTGGAGCTGACCCGCCGCTGGGCAGAGCACTTCATCAAAGAGAAAGAGCAGTGGCTGATGTGAAGGGCCTGCTAAGGGTCACGAGGGACTGATGTCCCAGCCTTGCTGGGAGCTGTCACCATGTGGGGCTCAGCTGAGGCACTCTCTTATTCCCAAGTCAGTAGCTAGGTGCTGCTGTGTGGGCTGCCAACCCTATTCCTTAGGCAAGAGGTGCTGGGGTCCTCTACAGTGACAGGAAGCTAAGCAGCATTCCAGAGGGGACAGAAGTGGGCATGTGACTGGACTTAACCTAGGGCAGCTTCTTGTCTTCAGAACCCTTTCATATAATCCCTTCTAGCTTTGAACTCCGTGGCAGGTTTGTAGTGGAGTCCCCCGGTCACTGTTTTTGGAAGGGTGTCAGGGTCTGGGCCAGCATGCACTCCCTCTGCCAGCCTGTGCTCTCTCCAGACCTCCTTCCCACACCATCTGTCTTCTCTAAGTGAGGGAATATTTGAGACTTCCAGAAGGGAATTTCTAGGTCTAAGCTCTTCCCAGTAGATTCTTAAACCCAATTGGGACATAATCCCGAGCATTCATTCAACACTCGCTAATCAAGTACCTTACTGTGTGCTGCAGAAAACTTGACCAAGGAATGGTTCCTGTCCTGACATTTACAGGATCCGGCTTCCTTATTTGGTGTGGCCTTGTAGTTGGTGCCTGGGCATAGTTGTTTTTCCTTTCTGCAGTTTATCTAGTGCTGGGAGTTCAGTTCCATTTCCCTCTTAAAAAAGGGGGGGTGGGGGAGGGCAGCACCTGTGGCTCAGTGGATAGGGCACCAGCCCCATATAGCGAGGGTGGCAGATTTGAACCCAGCCTAGACCAAACTGCAACAAAAGATAGCCAGGCCTGTAGTCCCAGCTACTCCAGAGGCTGAGGCAAGAGAATAGCCTAAGCCCAGGAGTTGGAGTGAGGTGTGATGCCACAGCACTCTACTGAGGGTGATAAAGTGAGACTGTCTCTTAAAAGATACCTCTGCACTCCAGAGTTCACTTTTCCCAAATGAACATTTGGCTCCAGGGAGAGGACTAGGATACCTTGCTTCCCTTTAGCTGCCTGAACTGAAGGAGACCCAATCACTAGAGCCATTTTCAGTGCTACTATGATTTGTATTTATTAAATATGAAGTGGTATTCTTAAGAAAGCATTCTTTTTGCTCTCTTCAAGACTTTACAGGGCTTGGCTGGCTATGGTTTTAGTACAATAAAGAGTGGATTTGCTTAAGAGTTTAGATAAGATTCTAGAGGCAGCAGTTAATAAACGGATAGCTTATTTATAAATTAACTAATATGCTAATTTTAGAGGTCCTCATTAAAGCAGGCCCCCGAACACCTTGGCAAGGTTCTTAGAATTTGCTTGAGAGACAATCAGGCACATTTAGGATATGGCCATAGACAGGATATAACTAAAAATACCTGCACTGGAAATCTTTATACTAAGTTTACAGGCTCAAGACTGATTGGAATTTTGGGAGCTGGAGTATAAGGAGGGAGGTGGAGCACCTCAAGGACATGCAGCCCCAGTCAGGTAACTGATCCTAAACCTCACAGACAGATGAAAAGTCCTGGCCACCTGGCTTAACTGGGGAAAGCAAGGCAGGCAGGACCGATTTGACCTATAGTAATTTGCAGAAGCAACACTGAGGCTTCATTTCACACGTTAACATTTTAAAATATCCCGAAAAGCATGGCCAGGCCAAGAGGCAGGGACAGCCATTCTCACACATTGCTGATGGCAGTGTAACTTGATTCAGTTCTGCAAGCTACTGTCTATCAAGAGCCATAAACACGTTCATATACTTTGACCTAATACTACTACCCTAGGCAAATAATTCAAAGAAAAATAAACCATTTACAAATATCTTTAATAGCAGCATTTTTTATATTAAAGAAAAGTAAAGTTCACATGCCCAATAATAATCACATTTAACACTTGGTACACACACAAATAAAGACAAAAAGCTACCAACATTGGATTTAAACAAAAGTTTTATAGGGGTTATGAGGTATAATTATGTGTTTTCTGAATAAATAAGAAGGTCACTGGCTGAAAAGGATAATAGAGATTTCTTTTCTAAAACTTTTCATTTGGATTCCCACCACACCTCTACTCCCTACTATCTGTGCAGAATTCCCACTGTGACCAAATGACTGTGCTCCCGGCCGGCCAATCACAACACAGGGCTCCACTAGCTCTGCTGGTGCAGAAGAAACAGTGTTCGGCCTTTGGCTCCATACTCCTTATCCTAACCTGTTTCAACTTCGGGAGCCCAATCCATGCCCTTGGTTACCTGAGAGTTTGAAACAGCACTGGCACTTCTACCTGGTTTGAACCTTGAATGCTACCAGAGAGGAGGCTTGCACAAGATTCCAAATCCCTTACTTACATTACTGTTCAATTAGAATAAGGCCACCTAGGAATGTTCTTAACCTCTTTGTTCAGCTTTTGGCTGACATATTAAAACATATAAATAATAAATACAACCTTTCCCCCAGGTGCGAGGCTAAACCAGCACTTTCGGAGCTTGGTCTATGTTGCCTATGGGGTCAGGCTAGTGATGTAGCTCCAGTGGCCTCTGCAAATGAGGCCTTGCCAACCACTAGAGGACAGACACATAGTATCGAGCACCAGTCCTTGGGCCTTCCCTCCTTCTGAGTTTCACAGGCAGGATCAGTGTGAGGGAAGCAGCCTGTACTTCTGTTGGAGAATGGCTGTAGTTCTTTCTAGGGCACTGGGAAAAAAAACAGGAAAAGTTAATAGTCTGACTTTGCAAAGCCCAGAGCCCACCAGAGTAAGACAAATAGGGACCTAAACTCCTTGGTCTTATTATGCTCTATTCATTGAATGCTTGATGAATCCTAAAAAATCCAGCAAACTTAGTCCTACTGCATCTACTACCTTTCCGTATCTGCCTACACCCACTCAAGGCAACACAGGAAGGAATGACAAACTTCATTTTTTTGTCAGGGCTTCTTTTAATCTTGCGAACCTCCCACAAATCTATTCCCAAGCCATAGGATAGAGATTTACCAGCCAGGACGAATAATGCCAAACTTTCCAGGCACAGATAAATCAACCACAGTTGAGCCAAGGCGACACTCAGGGCTCTGGCTATCCCCAATTGGTCCTCCATCAATGACCAAGGACAAATGAGGCCAGAGGTGTTGGAACTCCTAGGAAGAAGAGTTGGATATGAAGAATATGGATACCATCCTTGGCCTCTGCAATGATATCATATGTCAGGTAAAGGCCTAACAGTTTTAAAACAGGAGGCACCTTCCTCTAAGCACAGGAAGGAGGACGCTCATTTAGTTAAGGTCAGCTACACCAAGGACATTGTATCCTATAGGTTTGGAACTCTCCCAGGTTAACTCCCCAACTAATACCCACCGAGGCCAAGCACAGTGGCTCAAACCTGTAGTCCCAGCATTTTAGGAGGCTGAGGCAGAAGGAACCCTTGAGCCCAGGAGTTGAGGCTACAGTGAGCTATGATCACATCACTGCAGTCCAACCTGGATGACAGAGTGAGACAAAAGAAAAGAAAATCTTGCTGTGCCTGAAGGAATTAAGTTCTGGGTAGAAATCCAGAGATATAGGCTTTTACCCTGGATTTGCCATCCTATCTCTGTTACTGCGTGCAAGTTACTTTATCCAGGCCTATAAAACAAGGAGACTTATACTCTGTGATCACTCAGCGTCCTTCCAGCTCTACCACTACGTTCCTGGATCTCACTGCAACTGTGGATTAGGATAGGGAGAGAAAACAGGGTAGACTCTCTAAGTGCATGCCATGAGTATTCAGTCCTTGGGCTATGGGAAATATATTCCCACTAAAACTGTGGGTTGAAATGACAGTTGAGCTAGAGTGTCTACCACCACCTAATGAAGACACTGTGGTAGCAGTTAGGCCTGGGAATTTGGAATGGGAGATCAGAAATACCAGTTTTTGGCTTGGCACCTGTAGCTCAAGCGGCTAGGGCACCAACCACATACACCAGAGATGGCAGGTTCAAATACAGCCTCGGCTAGGCAAACAATGACAACTACAACCAAAAAATAGCCAGGCTAAGTTATGGCGGCGCCTGTAGTCCCAACCACTTGGGGGGCTGAAGCAAGAGAATCGCTTAAGCCCAGCAGTTGGAGGTTGCTGTGAGCTGTGATGCAAGACTCAAGAAAAAAAAAAATACCAGACGGCGCCTGTGGCTCAGTGGGTAGGGCGCCAGCCCCATATACTGAGGGTGACGGGTTCAAACCCAGCCCCAGCCAAACTGCAACAAACAAATAGCCAGGCATTGTGCCGAGTGTATGTAGTCCCAGCTACTTGGAAGGCTGAGGCAACAGAATCACCTAAGCCCAGGAGTTGGAGGTTGCTGTGAGCTGTGTGACGCCACGGCACTCTACCAAAGGTGACAAAATGAAACTGTATCTACAAAAAAAAAAAAAAAATACCAGTTTCTGCATTTCAGATAGGTCAAATGACTGCTGACAGGCTAAGAACCTCCCCCCCTCCCTGCTGCATCCTCACCCTTGCTCCTTAAGTGCCACCACCATGACCAAGTCAAACCTGTCCTCTGAGAATGAGAGAGGGTGCTGAATTCTCTCTCACTTTCCATGGTCCCTGAGCCCACTCTAGGTCTGAGCATGGAGAACCCCATCACCTGATTATTACAATCTGCATTTAGTAAGAAGTACGTGAAATTTCATTATGTCCTCACCCATTCTAAACTATGTAGCCAAGATAGGATTAGAATGATCCTTTCTTTGACCCAGCCTGTGGCAGATAAGAAAACAGGATTAAGAATAAAACACTGGGCAAAAATCTGGGTCAGACACTTAATGGCTCTGTGACTTAGAACAAGTGATTTAATTTTTGGAGACTTAACTCCTTCATCTTTCTTTATAGAACCGTTGTAAAAACTTATAACCTAACTCTGTATTCTCCCCAAACTGCTACCTTCACAAAAAAAGGAAAACAGTGGTTTACTTGTCATAATCTTTCCTGTTACTACAAACATAGTAGAAAGAAGCTGGGGCA